ATACATTTTATTGTTGGATGTAACTGGGACCCTGTGTACATAATTTCGCTCCACCACATGTACCACATGAGGTGCGAATGACAATAAAAAAACTCTGACTCTCTGACTCTGACTATACTCAGAATCTGGGGTTACAGTATGTAACCAACGTTTTCGTATTAACCTCTTGAGATGTGAGGACTGTAGTCCAAATTTCCCTTCAAACATATATTGATCTTTCTCCTGACTGATCTGTAAATGAGTTTTATTCAGACTGTGTCTTCTGCGCTGACATCCCTGATGATACAGACCCATTTGAATCATTTTGTTCATGTCCACAAATGTGTACAAGATATAAAATAAATAAAATCTGTCTTTAATCACAACCCTGAGTGTCCAGAAGACTCACTCTGGATAAAACCATTTCACCAGATCTGTCAGGAGAAAGGGAAGTATATAATGTTTGAGTAAATAGTAATGATTTTTTTCATGTTTTCACTAAATTTCTCTGGTCTTTAGAGTCTACTCCAGTCACAGAAACAATAAGTGTTTCCACCTCTTCAGTCTGTTAGTGACTCTCTGAATTAGACATCCTCTGATTTCCTTTTGTTTGGAGGAGAGTTAAGATGTTTTAGGTCTGTAAACCTTTGGAGGTTGTTTTTTGTTCCTTAATATTTGCTTTGATTTTTATGATAAGCTGCTTGTTTAACAAACTTTTATAAAATAATTTGTATTTTTTATTTGTATCAGTGAATACATACAAACATAAGCAGCAGTTCTGACTGTTGAAAAAAGAAAACATGGTGTTTTTATGCTGCAAATAAAATATTCATGTTAAAATGATGGTTCCATGTGCATCTGTCGTTCAGATAAAAGGCCTCTCCAAAACAAACTCCCGGGCTGAGTTTCAACCCCGGCCCGCCCGTGGCTGCAGGTGTGAGCCCAGGTTGTGTCAGAAGGACCATGCTGCTGTCCAGCCTCTCCTGAAAAGACCAAACCTTGACCCTTCAGTGGTATCCAACTTCCGGCCTGTCTCCAAACTCCCATTTATTTCAAAACTACTGGAGAAAATAGATGAGTCCCAGTTGAAGTGCTTCCTGGAGGATCACGCCATCTTAGAGCTATTCCAATCTGGCTTTAAACCTCTCCATAGCACTGAAACTGCCCTGCTGAAGGTCTTTAATGACATTTTCTTAACCACTGATACCAGTGATTCTGTGCTGCTTGTCCTGTTGGACCTCACAGCCGCCTTTGACACCATCGACCATGAGATCCTCATTGCTAGGTTGGAGCAGTGGGTGGGCATCACAGGGTCAGCCCTCAATTGGTTCAGATCCTACCTCACTGACAGATCCTTTTGTGTCTCCATCAAGGATTTTAGTTCTGCAGTGCAGAGCTTAAATGGGGAGTTCCACAGGGGGTCCATCCTGGCTCCCCTCCTATTCTCTTTATACCTGCTGCCACTTGGTGCTATTTTCCGGAAACACAACATGCCCTTCCACTTCTACGCCGATGACTGTCAAATTTACTTCCCCCTAAGACACAATGGTACATGCTCTATTCAACCTCTGCTCGACTGCCTGGCTGACATCAGGGACTGGATGGCTTTAAATTTCTTAAGTTTCAATGAAAAGAAGTCTGAAGTCATGTTGTTCCCTCCCAACGACACAATCACAAACCACTGTATTGACCTTTCCACTCTAACCCTGTCAGAAAAACAAAGAGTCACTAATCTGGGTGTGATAATGGACCCTTCCCTGAAACTTAACAATCATGGAAACATGATTGTTAAATCATGTTTCTTCCAACTGAGGCGGCTGTCTAAACTGAAGCCCATATTGTCCAAAAAGAACCTGGAGACAGTAATACATGCATTCATTACATCTAGGCTTGATTACTGCAATTCACTCCTGTTTGGTATCAGTCAGACCTCCATTGCACGTCTACAACTGGTCCAGAATGCAGCAGCCCGATTTTTAACCAGTACAGGCAAAAGAGAGCACATTACACCAGTTTTGGCCTCACTGCACTGGCTACCGGTTCACTTTCAAATCCAGTTCAAAATACTCATGTATGTCTACAAATCACTGAACAGTGTCGCCCCCCCCATCCCTCTGATTTGCTACAACCGTATGTCCCACCACGCTCCCTGAGGTCAGCGGACCAGTTGCTCCTCACAGTTCCAGGAACTCGTCTTAAGCGCAGAGGTGACAGGGCCTTCTCTGTAGCAGGACCAAGACTCTGGAACGAGTTACCTCTGCTTGTCTGACAGGCCCCCTCCCTCTCGGTTTTCAAGTCCCGTTTAAAAACTCACTACTATTCAATAGCTTTCAACACCAGATGATCTGTGTTTTGAACCTGTATGCTCCACACTGGTTTGTCGTCATTATCTGCATCGTTTTTATGTCTATATTCTGATTTACTTCATTTTATATATTGCTTTGTGTGTTACCTGTTGTTCTGTCTGTACAGCACTTTGGTTGGCCTTGTCGCTGTTTTAAGTGCTCTATAAATAAAGTGGTATGGTATGGTATCTCACATAAAATAGTTGTCAAATCTGTCATGCGAGTTTGCTTGCTGCAGCGACGTCTGAAGAAGGGTCCAGCTGAAAGAACAAGAACATAGCAGCTGATTCTAAACTTCAGGGGTTTTCATCCTGTACCAAAGCTGAAGGCTGTAAGGTTTTGCCTTTTGTGTGTTAGTTTGTTAGCAAAACATCTCATGAACCAACATTTAACCTTTGGAATCAACCCAATTCAAGATGACCACCACAGCTTAGACACTAAACAAGGGCTGTAACTCAGCTGATGTTACAGATATTGAGCAAAATTGGTGTAGTAGTATCTGAGAGTCATCCCCAACACAAACTCTGACTGCAAATCAATCGGATGAGATCTGTTTTAAAAATGTTATCATTATTTTTTTAAGTCTCTAAAACCTCTTGCAGAGTTAAATTGCTGTAACTCAGTCAGTTTGACAGAGAATGAGTAACATTTTGATGTGGTAGTAGCTGAGAGTCATTCACAACACATGTGTCATTAATGGTTAGGCTGTTGATGTGGTGCATCCATATAAATATATGGGAACTGTTCTAAGCTAGCCCTGTGATGGACTTGCGACCTGTCCAGGTTGTACCCTGCCCCTCGGTCAGTGACTGCTGGACATGGGCACCGGCGACCCCCGTGACCCAAAACTGGAAGAAGCGGGTAAAAGATAATGGATGGATGTTCTAAAGTAATCTTTGACCCCATGTGAACTCACTTTGTAAAGAAGACCCACCACATAATACATTTTTATCAGTAGCTCTGTGGTTTTAACGTAGAATCTACTTTTATGAGAATGTTTTATTGAGTCTCTTTTAATCTTTACTTCATCTGTTGATTTGGACTTGTGGCATTTCTGTTATAAATAAAGTCCAGTTGTTTTTGTATTGAACGCTTTTTGAATTCTTCATGTCCTGGATGACTGAGAATCTTCACCAGCGACTTGTGGCATGCAAAACAGGAACAAACTCTTGGGGATTGTCAGGATGTGCAGTAAAACTGCTGGCATAGCTCTACAGAACCTCACAGACCTACACAAGGTGAGGTCAGTGGATAAGGCCAGGCTGATTCTGGCAGATCCTGATCATCCACTCCATGGTGAGTTCAGGTTGCTTCCATCTGGACGCAGGTATCTGCAGCCCAGATGTTGGACGAACAGACTGAAACACTCATTCATCCCTGCAGTGATCAGGCTTCTCAACCAACAATGATGATTTCTGTGTTATTTTAATGTCTTAATGTCTTGTCTAGTATTCATTCAACCTTTATTTATACAAGTTAGTTCCCACTGAGCCTCGAGGACTCAATTACAAGAGAGGCCTGTTGGATATGTACTGTATGGATGTTTTATGTGTCTACTGACTGTGAAACAAACTGGCCTTGGGGATAGTAAAGATTCTTGAACTTGAACTTCTTGAAGTACTAACTTCATACAAGATTTTGCATTTTCACAAAACTTCTTTATAACATCACTTAAACAAGTTGGACCAAACTCCATCGCATCATAAGATAAATCTAAAACTCTGTTATAAAAAGCGTCGGGTGATATGCGTTCCTTCATGGAATGACTGTCTTTTATTGTACAGAAGAAATGTGTACAAAGCTTACATAGAAATATTCCTTTTTTATCTTTTACAAGGTTAAAGCAGAACCTGATCTCACGCCCGGCGCTCTGCAGCCACCACCATCCTCCTCGCTGCACGTACTATATATAAACATCTGCACCAGTGGCTTTTCTTATCACCTGCCACGGTTTTTGTCTGAGACCTCTGCAATGTGCCCTTGATACGCCTAGTTTCCCCTGCTTGTACCTCTGCCACCGGAGTGACCTGAAGAATGTCTTTGACATGTGTATCCCAGCCGCTGCCTTTTGTTGCTGTTTGCATGCATGTATGAAGAGACAAGCCAACACTGGCCACAGCTGTTGGCAGCAAACACTGATCCTTTTTTAAAGCAGCAACAAAAACACTGTCCTCGTGCACTGAGGACGTGATTTATGTGACACGTCGACTCACTTGAGGCCCCACCGGACTTTTTTTATCTCTCTTTATTTTTTTACAGTAGCTGGACAATTGTGAATGTGCAGACATCACGTTGCCCGCATGCCGCGCCTTTAGTTTATGTTAGACGTTTCAAAGGAACTTTTGGATGAAGCCAAGCTGTCAGGGTGAAGTCTGCACTTTTCTTCAATTCTTTTTTTTCTCTGTTTCTTCAGGTGGGACAAGGTGGAGGGTTCAGAGGAAGGAGAGACTGATTGCTTCTGTCCTATCAGCAAAGGCCAAGGTTTGTCACAAACTGTCCTCACTTTCAACTGTCTTTCCTCTTATCTTCTGTTGCTTCAGTTGTTTCTTTGTTTTCATTAGTTATTGGAAAAGTGAGTTATCTGTAATAAAACAATAATAACATTGTCTTGTAAATTCATTGTTGGCGCTCTTATCACTTTAGTAAAGCAAAATATGATTTTATTGTTGATATAAAGGACTAAAGTGAGTTTTACATGAAACTCAGAAAGCTATAATTGCATAATTATAAGTAAGCAGACAGAACCTGATCTAGGTAAAGAAAAGAGGTATTTAAGTTCTTTATTTGTAAGAAGTGAGACTCTTTAATTAAATAGCTTTGTTTTTGGTCATCAGTCCTATTCTATTTCCTTATCGTCTTCTGTTAAATGACAAAAGGGTGAGGATGTTCTACGGCTATGTATGTTTGTGTGTCTGTTTGAAAAAAAGTCATAAACTACTGGAAGAATCAGTCAAAGTGACTGACAGACTGACGAAGTCTTTTGGATAAAAGACGAAAAGTTTCAACAAGTTTTTTTTTTTTCGTCCAGAGGACCTGACCTAACCTTTTGGTAGATACATCTGAAACACATTAACTTTTAGATTCATTCCAATTAAAGATGGGCACCAATGGCCAACTGGCTTTAAAAACGCAAAACATCTCTATAACATAGATCCAGGCCAGGGACCTTTCTGTGTGGAGTTTGCATGTTCTCTCCGTGCATGAGTGGGTTTTCTCCAGGTACTCCGGTTTCCTCCTACAGATCAAAAACATGCATGTTAGACTGATTGGTAACTCTAAATTGTCCCTAGGTGAGAGAGAGAGATGGTTGTTTGTCTCATTTGTCTCTATGTGTCCCTTTAATGGACTGGAGACCTGTCCAGGGTGTCCCCCACCTCTCACACAGTGATGGCCAGACATGGGCATCAGTGACCCCCGCAACCTGAAAAGGAAAAAGTGGGTAAAGATAATGGATGGATGGATGGATGGATGGATGAATGCATGTATGGATGGATGGATGGATGGATGGATGAATGCATGTATGGATGGATGGATGGATGGATGGATCTCTATAACAATCAATTTAAAGACATTGTGCTAAAATTTGTCAAGGATTCAAGGTTATTTGTTTGTCATTCCACCACATGTGGTACATCTGGTGGAATGAAATTATGTACACAGGATCCCAGTTACATCCAACAAAAGTATAAAATATAAAAGAAAAACAGTAATAAGATCTAAGATATGAACTAAGCAAAATGTGAACTAAAACCACACTAAGCACTAGTAGTATAAAAACAATACACCGAACAGCAGCACGAACATGAGTCTGTGTGAGCAGATGATATGAATGAACACAGCAACATGGAAACAGATCAGCAGCAACATGAAACAGATCAGCAGCAACATCATGTAATTTTTCACAGTGATTATTCTGTTTAGAGATTCATGAGTTTAACAGCCTCAGGGTAGAAGCTGTTCCTCAGTCTAGTGGTTCTACACTTAATGCTCCTCAACCTCCTTCCTGAGGGGAACGGGGCAAAAAGTGTGTGCTGGGTGAGTGGGGTCCTTCAAGATGCAGGTGGCCCTTTTCCTGCATCTGGAGGTGTAGATGTCTGTGATGGTGGGGAGACTGACTCCAACATCTTCTGTGCAGCCTTCACCACTCTCTGCAAAGCTTTTCTTTCTGCAGCTGTGCAGCCTCCATGCCACACATTGATGCTGGAGCACAGGATGCTCTCCACTGCACACCTGTAGAAGGAGGTGAGGACTGAGCTTCCCAGACCAGCTCGCCTCAGCCGCCTGAGGAAGTAGAGTCTCTGATGAGCTTTCTTGATCAGGCTGGTGATGTTGTTGCTAGGCCTGCCGTAATAAACAATAAATCAATCACATGATAAATGAAAATTGTCAACCTCATTTTCATTTATCGGCTTTATCGTTTCTTTGTGTCTCTCTCCTCCTACTGAAGACACTGAATGACAAAAAGCTCAACTCTGGTGCTCTTCACTGACCCCTCCCTTTCTCTTCAAAGTCCGTTTTAACTGTCCAAAATTGTGTTTTTGGATTGTTAAAAGTAGCTAAGCTAACAGGCCAACCTCTGGAAAAAAAATGTCTTGTCAAAGCTCCAAAATTCACGGTTGAAATCCGTGCCTTCGTGTAAAAAGTTTTTCTCTGCAAAAAGAAGCTGAGAACTTGTTTACTGACTTTTTATTAAAAGCTCTGTCTGAAAAATACTATGCTAAAAGCTCAAACCACACCGAGCATCTGCCATTTTGAGAACTGAAAAGAGACAGCCCATGTCACGTCAAGGGGCCTCCCTTCCATTTTTCTTAAAGAGAAATGCTGCTCGCTCCCATCCAGCCTTCGGTTCAAACTGTCATATACTGCCATCTAGTGGTCCAAAATAAGGTCATGCACACAAAACAAATTAAATATTTCTTCTTAAATTTTACAATAATTACTGATTATTGTCAAATTTCAATCAATATTATCATTTATTGCAATAATTTCTGAGACAATCGCCCAGCAAAATTTGTTATTGTGACAGGCCTAGTTGTTGCCCCACCTGAGGTTGTCATTCAGGTGCACACCCAAGTACTTGTAACTGGAGACCACTTCCACCTCAGATCCTCCTATGTGGGGCAGCTGTGGCTGAGTGGTTAGAGCAGTCGTCCTCCAATGCGAGAGTTGGGGGTTCAAATCCACCAGCAGTCACATGCTGAAGTGTCCCTGGGCAAGACACTGAACCCCTCATAGCCTTTGATGTGTGTCTCATCAGTGTATGAATGTGATAAAGCTCTGATTAGTCTCATTAGAATGATTTGTTCAATTATCTTTGTAGAGATCTAGTAGAGTGCTGTATGAATGGGTAAATGAGGACACAGATTGTTGTGTAAAGCGCTTTGAGTATCTTGAAATAAGATAGAAAGGCGCTATATAAGTACAGTCCATTTACCATTTACCATGTTCAGTGGGGGGTAGGTGTGATTGTTCCATCTGAAGTCCACGATCATCTCCTTTGTCTCCTTCACATTGATGTGCAGGTTGTTCTTCCTTCACCAGCTCTCCAGGTTTTCAACCTCCTGCCTGTAGCTGGACTCATCGTTGTTTGTGTTGCATCCCATCACCGCTGTATTGTCTACAAACTTTACAATATGACAGCCTGGATGAGTAGGTGCACAATCATATGTGAGCAGAATGAACAGGAGAGGGCTCAGCACACATCCTTGAGGGGAGCCAGTACTGATGGTTATGGTGGAGGAGGAGAAGTTGTAGATCCTCACAGACTGTGGTCTGTTTGTTAAGAAGTCTAGGACCCAGTTGCAAATGGAGGGTCTTGGTCCTAGTGTGAGTAGTTTGTCCATCAGGGTTTGGGGGATCATGGTGTTGAAGGCGGATGTGAAGTCCACAAAGAGCATATGGATGTAGGAGTCCTTCTGCTCCAGGTGGGTGAACGCAGTGTGAACCACAGAAGAGATGGCGTCCTCTATTGATTGATTCTTGCAGTATACATACTGATGAGGTTCCTCGTTGATGTTGATGGTTGTTTTGATGTGGGTCATGGCCAGTTTTTTGAAGCATTTAGCGACTATCGTGGTGAGGGCTACTGGCCGATAGTCATTCAGACCAGTCACTGTAGAGCTCTTTGGGACTGGGATGATGGTGGTGGGATTCAGGCAGGTGGGAGCTGTTGCCAGGGTGAGTGAGGAGTTAAATATGTTGGCCAGCACCTTGTAGAGCTGATCAGCACATTCTTTCAGCACCTTCCCAGGGATGTTGTCTGAGCCGGTTGCTTTGTGAGGGTTAATCCTCCTTAAAGTACTCCTCACTTCAGCTGAGGTCAAGCTGAGAAATTCTTCTTCCAGTGGTGAGGTGAATCTGGTGCTGGGTGGGCTGTTCGGGTCTTCAAACATGCGTAGAACTTGTTGAGAGCAGTAGGCAGTGATGGATCCCTAGGGCATTGTGCACCTCTGCCTTTATAATCTGTTATGGACTTAATGCCCCTCCACATGTTCTGTGGGTCTTGTGAGGTGAATTGGCCCTTGATCCTCTGTGCATATGCGGCCTTGGCCCTCTTAATACCAGCAACCAGCTCTTTCCTCATCTTTCTCAGCTCCTGTGAGTTGCCAGACCTGAAGCCAGTGTTCTTGGCTTCCAGCAGGGTGCGCACCTCTGCACTCAGCCCAGGCTTCTTTTTCAGTTAGCTCCTGGTTGTAGCTGAGAGTCATTCAACACATTCTCCAAGCACTAACTGCACAAGGCTGTTGCTCAAACCTTTAGCATCTCAGATGAATAGGATTGTTGGATGGTTTTTAGGACACTTTCAGGAAGTTATTGGATGTACTCTACAATTTTTTTTCTTTCGGCTGCTCCCTTCTTCAGGGGTCACCACAGCGAGCTAACTCGCACAAAGACATGGCAATTGTTTTTACACCGGACGTCCTTCCTGACGCAACCACAGACCACCGAGCTACCACAGCCCTCTGTGTGGAGCATAGAGCTGCCATCTAGGGTTCCTGGGGGAGCAGATGGTGGGGGTTAAGGGCCTTGCTCAAGGGCCCCAAGTGGAGCAAATGAGGATGGAGGCAGGTCTGGGTGCTTCACCTTTCCCACCCACATTTTGATGTTTTTTGTCTGAGGAGTTTAACCGGCGGTGACCTTCTGATCACAAGCTCGCATTCTCTAACCTCTGTGCCACCCCCCACCCCCATTGATGTACTCTGCATCTGCAACTAATTTCCTTATGGAATCAATCAAATTCAATATGACCACCACAGTTTTTGAGATTAACCAATAAAAAAGTGTATATCATTCAAACACTTTACAGAGACTGAGCTAAAAACATTTTTGCCATAGCTGAGAGTCATTTCCACCACATACTCCAAACGTGGCCTTTTGCATGAGACTGCACGTTACATTATTTACATTATTTGACCAAAATGGCTACAACTCTAGATTTCTCAACACAAGATATTTTGGTTTAAAGCTTTGGCATGAAATAT